TCTCAAAGCTCTCTGCAACACACATCATCTTTCTGAACAGTTGAGTAACATCAGCAAATTATCACATCCTTCCCTCTCATCTAACAGGATGTTGCCGTTTGCTAGCAGACAGAAAAGCTCATTTCCCAACTCCTCCTCTTCATGCTGCCCCCATTACTCACCAGGTGTCTCACTCAGCAAGTTTAACTAAGTACCACATTGCTACAGCAGCATAATAAAAGTGCACCCTGCTAATTTGGGGAGGTTGGTAGTCACAAAGAGCACCACTGGTAAGTTTGTGCTTAGTGCTGATCTCTGATAAGAAGAGCTGGGATCAACGCAAGGCTAGAAAGAGCTTAAACCTCTGATGGGTTTGACCACAACACTCACATGAACATAGTTCCTGAGTCTACAATAACTGGATATTACCTGGGAGAAACTCCAGTGGAGGCAGTGAAATTACATCAGAGTAATTAAGAGAAGGGACTATCCCAAGGGAAGAAAAGGAAAGGTGAACATGCTGACACACCAGATCTCTTGAAGACAAGTGTCTCACTGTGAGGGGTGTAGTGGAGAAGCTCTGCAGACCCCAGGGAGGCACATTCCCTGTGCACTGCTGCTCTGTGCAGACAGGCAATCTCCCTTGCATGCCCTTAACTTCCCCTCCACGGTGTCTGTCAAACCACCTTCCAGACAGAATTTTTAGAGCAAAGAGGCCCTGACAGCCAAAAGTAGGAGGACTGTGATTTCCCCCGAGTCCTCTTTTAGGTGTTGCAAGTAGAATCTGTTACTAACAGATCTTGAAAGGGAATGGCAAAAGGCCAGGCTAGCTAGAAATGTTTGGGAAACGAACATCACTATTGCATAACATTGTGAAAACTGAGATTGCTATTTACAGAGTGCTTACACTGGAAGATCAGAAGCTCTTCCACAGGAGATTGTCTGTGTTTCAGTACTCCCACATTCACAGTGCAGATTTTATTGGAACAGGATTCACCAAAGATGAAAAAACACTGATACCACACAGGCCATAAAGAAGTGGAAGCTCCCATAAGAAAGAGCAGGAACAGCTCCTCCTCCCCATCACAGCACCATCCCAAATCAACTCCTCAGTAGAGTTACAGGAACATCTAACTGCTGGTCTTGTAGTAGTCATAACATCCTTCCTTTTTTGCAGCACAACAGACCAGAGTAACAGCTACGAGAGCTCATCAGGACACCTCCAGAGCTGAACAACTACAAGGAACACCCAGATGGGAAACCACCCTCCGGGGCACAAGAGGAACAAGAAAACTAGATAGGAACATCAGAGGCCTCACATTTACTCAATGAACCGAGAACTGAAGTCCAAACTTGGACTCTGCCTTGTAGCAGAGCCTTCTTCCAACAACAGGCTTTTATATCAACATTTTAATATATCCCAACTTTTTGTGGAAGTGTTGGCCAGACAGAAAAGTAAAGGTGCCTAAGGTCAGTGGGAGAAGTTGCACTCCAGAGTCACCAATAGCCAGTTTCCAGTTCATCAGCTGCAGCTGACCTCAACCTGACCTCTCCAATTTCCAGTTCATCAGCTGCAGCTGACCTCAAACTGACCTCTCCAATCCAGAGAATGGGACCGTTCTCTGCTTCTCCCACATATCCCTCACACAAATCCAAGTTGTTCTCTCTGATTTCCTGGGGAGGCTTCTAATGTACAAACTCATTTTAAAAAAAAGCAAAAAGTCTTAGCAAGGATTAATACTGGAGACAAAAGTAGGACTGAAGATAAATCTTTCTCGTGGCTTTCCAGCTCTTTGTAATAACTGTGATGGGGACAAAGTTAATAACTAATATGAGCATCTCTCAGACTTTACTGCAGCACATCTGTGTGACAAACATTATTATCCTCTGCAGAGAGACAGGGAACAGGCTGAGACAGGTGAGGTACAGCCTCAACAAGCACTAGCCCACTTAGGGCACTGCAATAAAAGTGCAGAGAATCTGGAGGAGAAAAACACGACCTATGAGAAGAGACTGAAACAGTATTCAGCCCAGCTGAGAGAAAAGCATGAGGTCTTGGGAGAGATAATAGTTATCAAATATGTAAAAGGCTGCTGCAAAGGAAAAAGAAACAATCCAGTCTCCAGGTCCTTTGAGGGAACGACAAGTAGTGAGGATTTGATCTTTTCCTGTTTCGAAACTTGGGCTAAATATTAGAAAAAAGTTGTAAAGGTAAGGTCAGCTCAGCAATAGGCAGATTGCCTGGGGAGGCTGCAGCAGCCACAGAACAGATCAGCATCCTAGAAGGGCATGGGCAGGCACTAATGCAAACTGATGCTACCTTAAGGCAGCAGCCTGACCTTTTGGCGTGCTTTCCAGTTCAAGA